CTCTCTCTCGCTCTCTCTCTCTCTCTCTCTCTCTCTCTCTCTCTCTTAGTTTTCTATCTGTCTCCCTCTGTCCCCCCCTGTCTGTGTCTTTGGGTCTGGACTCTCTCTCCCCCTCTGTCGCTCTTCTTGTGTGTTTGTGTGTGGAAGATGTCTCTGTCTCTCCGCCTCTTGGGCGTGGACAAGAGCAGTTCGACACGAGACACGAGGCAGATATCCGAGTAGAATCTGGTACAAGGTGCGGTGGTGCGTCCATGGAAATCATATAAACCTTGTTTCGAACATTTGAAAAGCGCGTCCAAGTGTTCCGATAACGATTTGATCGACCACGCACATCAAAGACAAACTTCATCACCTACATGTATCCATAGGACGCCGTGCTTTCTTTGAGTTCAGCACCGAGCTAGAAGGGTGCGAAGAAGCGTAAAGTTCGAAGTAAGAAGCTGACACACGCCAATCGAGTATCCTGCCTCCTGCTGATTACATAAGTCTTGTCCCCGCCACTGGTCTCGTCAGGTAGAAAGCTAAGAACAGCGACCCATTTGTTGTCCCAATCAAGACTGACGATCGGACGCCAGACAGGAACCATCACAGACCAGCACACGCTCTGCGTTCGCCGTACAACAGATCTCACAACCAAGAGCACACCCTACCGCAGGAGTTGATTGGCCATCGTTCTGCCTATGGCTGAGGGGTAGATTGAACAGACGACGGGCTGCAGTTGGTCGACAAAACGGGGATACTCAAAGAAGTCGACGGATGGAGTGCTCCAGAAGGGCGGCAGCCTTCGACCTTCCTCACTCATCCGTCCGTCCATCCACTCACCCACAGCAATACAAACAACAACCTCTCTGTTTGACTAGGCGTATGATGTCGGCCTCGATCAGTACGAAACCACCGATGCACACGAAAACATGCGATGGCCTACGCATATTATCGATGAAGGGCTTCGCGGCGCAAACCACAAAAAGCTTCTGCAACACAGCCGCAGAGTGGCCATACACTGTCGTGAGTCTGTCGCTCGTGCACTGCTGTGCTCGTTTATTTTCGTGTGGGTGTCCAGACAAGACACACCACCGCAGTAGGCGTAAACCTTTCATGTGCATCATACATAGGAGTGCGGACCCGAAAGTGTGAATGAAGTGTGTCTCCAAGCATTGAAATACAACAACCTAACAACAAAGCAGCAGGGGGAAGGCTGGCTATCCCATAGCGATGAGACGTAACACCGACGCCTCACCAGGAGATAGCCGATGTAGGTGAAGGGCTTGGCGACAAGGACAGCTTGCCTCTCCTCCGGCGTCTCGAAGGACAGGGGCCACGCGATGGCCACCGACCGCAACTCCTGCGATCGTGTCGTGCGTACGAAAAACAACGAGAAACAATAGCGAAGAGGACGAAACGACAGACGAAATTATGAGAGCAGGATCACAGGGATGAGTCGCAGGCGACCTACACGTTTGACGAAGAGGGGACACACGAACCTCCACACAAAGCTCAAAGGCTCATTACCCGTACCAATCACTAGTACCGCCAGAGCTCCACGGAGAAACATGCGTGGCATCCAAGTATTACAACCGCGCGGAAATACCATCGACCCCCGGTCCACGTCCCCCCGGTCCTTCCGCACCTGCACGGGGACGATGTTGTAGGCCTGCAACGGCTGGTTGCCCAAGAACGGTTTCACTTTCCCGATCCACTTCTCGGACGGCCTTCGTCCGCTGCCGCGGTTGGGCACCGGGCCAAACATGCCGTCCACGGTGCTTTGCAGCTGCGACAGGGACTCCTTCCCGAGAACGGCGAGCGTCATTTGGTTGGCCGAGTAGTACCTGGGTCGTTTTTTTTTTTTGTTCGGCGTATCACGTCAAAGTTATCGGTTGTTGGTTGTTGTTGTTGTCGTTGTTGTGGCGGTGGAGATGGCGAAAGACTCAAGCATGGTGTATCTCTGGCTAAGCTCCATGGGCTCCGCTCCACATCTGGCTGATGCACAACACTGATTTGGTCGTTGTTTCGCCGGCTACAGCAAATAGTGTGTTCTTTTCCCGCGAAGGTTGCTCTGCGGCCTAGAGTGTTCAAAACGCACGGAAGCGTTCCACTGGACAAAATCCGCTGGACATTAAGTCGCCATGGTAATACCCAAGACCGACTCCCTCACGTGTCAAAGAAGCGGAACAACGCCTGCCTGGCGCTCTTTCCCTGGGAGGACGGTACGTCGAGCAGAGTCTTCTTGTTGCCCGTGCCGAACTTGGAGTACGGATGCAACCGGTTGGCCCTTAAGACGTAAGACGTCAACAACAAGGGCCAGCAGTGGCGAGACAAGAAAAAGGAAGGGTACAAGCAAGTCACGTTTTGTCACAGGCCGGAGTGAGTATCAGCCCAACAAGCGCAAACGACAACACCAGCAAGACAAAGCAAGCGAAAAAACAGCTCAACGTTTTCATTGGGCAAGCAGGAGTGACGACAACTGCGGCGTCAACTGAATGTGCAGGCGCTTTCAGACGATGTGCTGATGACAAACATAGAGCCGATCTAAAACACGACTACTAAACGTTTGTCGTCGTCGCATTGTTTCTGTCATCTGCCGAACCGGATAGTCACAACCTTTCGCTGGTGGGTACACTCCCCCAATCGTACTGCGCTGCGCCGACCAGCAATAGGCAGGCGCCGGTGTTGATTCTTGATTTATCGCATCGTACAGCAGCACAAGCGTCATCCCCGGTGGCTCACGGCGCCTACGTCGTGTAGTGTATTGCTGCTCTCGCGAGAATGAGATATAGTCTAGTCTACCCCGCTTTTTTTTTTTTTTTCTTCTTGTGTTTGTGAAGAACGATGAGTGAGGGTGCTGAGTGAGAAGTGGTGTTGCAACGTCTCGATCAAGCGAGCGATTTTGCGAGGCTTCGGTTGAAGGGAGGATATCATGGACGACAGCCAGTCAGCCCTTCGTCCAAAATCGACTTCCTTTGTCCTACGCCGCCCTCCTCTCGCAAAACGACTACAAGCTGTACTTCCTCTCAAACATCATTTCTCGAAGGTGCGCTACTGCATCCTACTTGCTGGGTAGCTCTGAGTACCACAAAGACTTGCGCAAGAGACCCGAAGTCGGGATAAAAAAAGTTGCGGAGAGAATCCCGCCCGTCCGTACCTGAGTTTTTCCAGCTGGTACCCTCGGAAAGCGTCTGAGATTTGGTTCTTCGCGTTCTCAGCTTCGATGGCGTTGAGCTCCCGCCCGGTTGCCGCCTCGGTAAACTTGACAAAAACGAAAAAAAAAATGGGGGTAAAAGGAGACAGGGGAGAGGAGGTGGGAAACGGCGCAAGATATAGAGAGACGAAGGAAGAGGAGGAGGTAGAACGACCCTTCCACATCGGAGTGATGCCAACCGAAACGTGTGCGGGAGGAGTGATTGTTTGATATGATCGATCTCGTGTCCATCTCATTCTGAATGCTGCTGCCAACCCGAGGAGTGTCAGGTCTTCAACAACTTCGCCACGCAAGGTAAGAAAGACAAGAGTGAAGGGATACGGATGCGATGGACCCCCCCCCCCCCCCCCCCCCCCCCCCCCCCCCCCCCCCCCCCC